CCACCCACCCACCCAGAGAGAGAGAGGAACCCCAAATGCAGAGGAGAAGAGGGGGTGATTGTAAGAATACGCAAGAAAAGAGGAACGAGAGAGTATAAAACCAGCACTGTGTTGAAACATTAGTTTACTCTGCATAGCCTGTCAGATCTCTACTAGCCCATCAGAAAATATTTTGGGCAAGAGTTCCACCTGACCCAACCAGTGTTCCCTCTTGAGTTAGTGTGAGCTAGCTCACAGATTTTGAGCCTCTGGCTTACACATTTTTGTCTTGGCTCAGGAAGGAGGGCTCCAGAGCAAACTAGTTTATCCAGCAGCGAAATCTCTTGCTCACAACTTTAATGCCAGTAGCTCACAAAGTAGATTTTTTGCTCACAAGACCCCACAGCTTAGAGGGAACATTGGACCCAACCCGTTTTCTAAAAACACTTGGTGAGTGCCAAGAAAGGTGCCAGAGGACACCATATCAGGGACCCCTGCTTTACAGAAAGGGAAAGGAGAGGGGAGTAGTTGCCAGTAATCCCAGTGCAAACCACGTACAAATTGATGCCTTCCAACTGTGCAGGATGTTCCTGGGCATGTCTGTGACTTATTGCGAGACGTCCTGCGTGCTGCTTCCAGATTACAGGGTTGTCAGCTCCATCTTGGGAAATTCCTGGAGATCTGAGGGCAGAACCTGGGGAGGATGGAGTTTGGGGAGGAGAGGGATGTGGTGCCACAGAGTTTGCCCTCTGAAGCTGGCATTCCTCCAAGTAAACTGGGGGGTCACTTGTAATTCCAGAACTCCAGCCCCCACCTGGAGAGTTGGCAACTCGAATCACAACAACCTGTGTTGAAGTTGTGGATCTCCAGCCCCCACCTGGACGTTGGTGGGATCCTATGTGGAAGTGATGCATTATTAGTAAAGATAAAGATTTCCCTTGCTCGAAAGCTAGTCGAATCCTAATCTATGGGGTGGTGCTCATCTCCGTTTCCAAGCCAAAGAGCCAGCGCTGTCCACAGACTTCTCCGTGATCACGTGGCTGGCATGATGAAACGCCAAGACCCATAGAACACTATTATAACCTTCCCACCCATAAGCGGTACCTATTTATCTACTTGCAATGTCTTGCTTTTGAACTGCTGAGGTTGCCAGGAGCTGGGGCCAGAGACAGGAGCTCACTCCATCAGGCAGCACTTGGGTCTCGAACTGCCGAACTACAGACAGCTTCTGGTCTGCAGCTCAGTGTCTTAAGCTCTGAGCCACCGCAGCATTATTAGTCAACATCAGTGTTCCCTCTAAGCTGAGTTAGTGTGAGCCAGCTCACAGTTTTTTAGCCTACAGCTCACACATTTTTGTCTCAGCTCAGGCAGGGATGGCTCCAGAGCAGACTAATTTAGGCAGCAGCCAAATTGCTTGCCCACCACTTTCATGTCAGCAGCTCACAAAGTAGAATTTTTGCTCACAAGACTCCACAGCTTAGAGGGAACATTGGTCAACATGTTAATTAACAGTAAGGTTAAGTTGTATAGTAGTTATACTGTTATGCGGCCTCCTTGTTGATCTCTCCCTCTGAGTGTTAACGAGATTGCCGGGCCCTGCAAGGCACCTCCAAAATATAGGCAGAACCGTTCCAGAAAATAGAGACGGGTTGTGAGTTCCTGCTCTCCTCCAGATATCTATTTGCCTTCTCTGGCAGGGCTCCAGTGTCGTTAATATCACCATTGTAGAGGTAAATAATTCAAGGGCTGAAGCTTCCAGGAAGGAGCAGAGCTGCGGGGACGCCCGCTGTTGAACTGCAACCCCTCAGGATGAAGGAGGTTCTACGCCTCAGCCGAGTCACCCAGAAAGAAGAAAACAATCCTCACGCATACTCTGTCCCATAGGAATAAATCCGCGGAATACAGGTAAACACGCCAAGAGAGAGACAGGCGACGATAAGCCCTGCCTTACCAGCCTAGTGGGCGGGGCTAGTCCCCCCCCCCGGCCCATAGTAACCGTCCTTAGTAACGCCGCGTCGTCGCTGAGTTGGGCGGAGTCGGCTGGATCAGTCTGCCCGTCTGTGCTCGGGTCAGGTTTGTACGCGAGGCCGAGGCTTGCGCGGCCTCTTCGGAAGGGATGCTAAAAGTAAAGATCCTCTTCGTTGGCCCCAGCGAGGTAGGTATGAGTCTTGCGGTTGGGGAGGCCCCAAGCTCGAAACAGCGACGGAGGGGTCGTGTTGCTATTGTGTAATCTCCACGAACAAAAGTGGCTTTTAACTGTAATCTGTTTTAAACCACCTCCTTAAAAGAGAGAGGAAAAAGAAAGGGGGGAAAGCAGAGCTTCGACCTACTTTTTTCCCCCAAAATAGAAAGCTGTAACCCACAATAACGATGTGGAGCTTCCATATACAGAGACAGTGTCTCTCTGAATACCAGTTGCTGGTAGCGCAATAGCCTTTCTTTGTGGACTTCCTTGGGGGCATCTGGCGAAGGACTCTAGGAAAACAAGATGGATCTTTGGTCTCAGCCTGCAGAGCTCTTCTTACCTTGTTAAATGTGAGAAGAATGGAGCCTCTGTGTACAAAAACAGTATATCTTAGTTCTGGGGAGATCTAAGGATGTATAATGGAGGACATGCCTCCTTGCTTTGCTTGTAGACTTCTTGGAGACACCTGGCTGGTCACTGTTGGATACAGAATGCAGGCTTTGTCTGATCCTATAGGGCTCTTCTTATGTTCTTAGTCATGATTATTAGGAATGGAAGTTCTATGTAGATATTTGCATAACAGAAAACAAGAGGACTCTGGCTTTCTTGTGTTTTAGATATTTTGTTTTAAGCATTTGTTTGTAAACTGTTTTGTTTGCTATTTTTCCTATAGAAGCTTGGTAGAAGTTATATAAGTAAGTAGACCCCTATTCTGTGTAAACTAAGTAACTTTAAATGTTGATCTATGAGATCTATTGCTGCACAGTGGAACAGGTGTTCATGTGAACTGGGTATACCGGGGCTCATAGCGCCATTCTGTATATCCTGGGGAAAATCACTACTGCCGAGTCCTCATTGAAGTGGTAAATTGGACTAGAATGCTTCAGCTGGCACATGAGGAATCACATGGCTGAATGCTTATCATGTTTTTAATATATATATATATATAGCTGGTAACGGTAAAGATTCCCTTGCTCGAAAGCCAGTCGAATCCGCTCTCAGCTCATCTCCGTTTCAAAGCCGAAGAGCCAGTGCTGTCCAAAGACGTTTCCGTGGTCATGTGGCTGGCATGACTAAACACCAAGGCGCACGGAACCCTGTTACCTTCCCACCGAAGCGGCACCTATTTATCTACTTGCAATGTCTTGCTTTCGAACGGCTAGGTTGGCAGATAGGAGCTCACTCCCATCATGCGGCACACTCAGGTCTCGAACTGCTGAACTACTGACCTTCCACAGCCTGCAGTTCAGCGTCTTAACCACTTGAGCCACCGCAGCTCCATATATATACCTAGCATGTAGGAAAGAAGGAGTTTTGACATAGCCTGGCATGCTAGTTTGCTGTGATTAGGGAATTGTTATTGAGGGAGAAGGTAGGAATAGTCTGTCTTTTAAGTTCCATACCTTTTGTCTGAGGTGGTACACAATGGATAATAATAATGTGGGACTCTGCTATGGGTTTTGTCTGAGCTCTTTGCAAGGAAGGGTGAACTCTTGGTGAAAAAAATGTCTTTGTTGTCCGCATACCACAAAACAGCAACAACAGTGGGCTACAAGCAGGGGTAGTTTCGTAGAAAAAGAGCTAGGGGAACTCATTAGCATAACTCATTAGCATATGCCACACCCCCTGACATCAGGGGCCCTGCAGTGGACCTGCAAGGCCGGCGGGAGTGTGAGGAAGCCCCACCAAGGCCCTCCCTGGCCCCAGGCAGGCAGGGGTGGGGAGAGGCGGGGAGGAAGCAACTTACCCTCCCTCTTCTCCTGCCTCCTCCTGGCTGAATGAGGGCCGGAAGCGGGGCAGCCGGAAGCAGGGGGCGGGGCTTCGTTGTGTGCCCCGCCCCCTGCACCTCACCCGGGGGAACTGCGATCCCCTGCGATCCCCCCCGAATCGACCTCTGGCTACAAGTACTTACTGGACTTCTGTTTAAACAATACTGAGAATGGCAACTCTTATTTTTGTCAAGTCCAGTAGCACCTTAGAGACCAGCCAGATTTTGATTCTCAAGAGCTTATACACTGACAGTCTTGTTGGTCACTAAGGTGCGACTGGACTCAAATCTAACTACTGCAGACAAATATGGTTACCTGTGAACATCCCACGATGAGTGTGACTCGTGAGTTGCAAAAAAAATTGCATGGCATTTTGTTTTAGGAAGATATTCCTGTTAACAGTGGTCTATAACGTCTGCACTCATTTTGCGACAGGTTGGAAAATCTGTTTTGGCAAACTTCCTGTCGGAGAGCACAGAGGGCATCGGCAGCTACATCCCAACGCAAGGGGTGAGGTGAGTCCCAAGCTGCGTGAAAAGAAACAGGCCTCACCTGGAGTACCGTGTCCAGTTTTGGGCACCACATTTTAGGAAGGATGTTGACAAGCTCGAGCGTGTCCAGAAGAGGGCAACCAGGATGGTGAGAGGGTTGGAATCCAAGTCTTATGAGGAAAGGCTGAAAGAGTTGGGTATGTTTAGCCTGGGAAAGAGAAGGCTTAGAGGGGACATGATTGCAGTGTTCCAAGTATTTGAAAGGCTATCATGGAGAAGATGGAGCAGATCTATTCTCTCTTGCTCTGGATTGCAAGACTAGATCTAATGGGTGGAAATTACAAGGGAGTCGATACCGGCTAAATGTCAGGAGAAACTTCCTAACTGTAATAGTGGTTGAGCAGTGGAACAGACTGCCTCGGGAGGTGGTGGATCCTCCTTCACTGGACGTTTTCAAGCGGAGGCTGGACGACCATCTTTCGGGTATGTTGTAGGGCTGTCTTTCGGCTATGCTCCTGCAGAGTGCAGGGGATTGGACTAGATGACCTGCAAGGTCCCTTCCAACTCTGACATTCTATGATTCTATAAGTGCTGTACCTAACCAAGCCATGAGCTCTTCTCTGCCAATGCAGCACAATGTAAAAAAAACCACTATCTGAACTTGTTTCTTTAAATCAGGTCCTGGGTCCCTTCCCTTTAATAAAACCATCTGAGCCTTATTCACTCATTTAACTAATTTGCTTGCTGTTGAGGTTGCTGAAATTGTCAGGACAGTTCCCCAAGACATGGAGTGTTGCATTTGGTGTACACGTAGCCCAACACACTTCGAAGGAAAAGGCCGTGATTTCCTTCCGTCCTTGAGATATGGTGCATGGAGTGTGCCTCATAACAGGCCCACATGCAGCTCCAGTACAATGCAAGCTATTGAACAGATAGAATATAATAGCGAGCAGTGTGAGTTCAGCTGCAGACCGAGGGAAGATGAATTGGCTGTGGCATCCAGGAACACACTTCTGATATGGAATGAGCCACTTGTGCACGGAAACTTATCTTTTCAAATGATGTAGCGGGTCCTTGGATTGGAGAAGAGAGTGTGTGTGTTTTTATTGGTAGTCAGGAATATAACTGAAATTATAGAATGTTGTCTCTGTGCATTTGTATTCAATGTTAGGATTCTGGAATATGAGAAGCCCCATATCAATGAAAACAGCAAAGGCACAGAGTATCGGTTTGAATTGTGGGACTGTGGAGGTGACCCAAAGTAAGTAGGTCTCTTGCTGACTCTAAACATAGGCACTTGCTACTGTATATTCTAGAGGTGGCTGGTAAGGTATTAAGTATATATGGACCACCTGTGGGGGTGAAAAATTGTGGGTGTCGTCACCTGTGGCTAGAGAATGCGGCCATCAAACATGTTTGAATCTGACGTTAGTTGACTCACTCCTGGACTGTTTGATCTAGTGGATTACTTAAAAGCCTTATTTAAATGTTGTAGGCTGTGAAGGTTTGGTTTCTATGCATGCCCCTGTGTTTAGCTTTCTGGCTGTTTGCCTTTAGCTCAGATTTCCTAACATGCATTTAATTTATTTTCTGATAACGAAATGCCTGGCAAGCCACAAGGTTGGTGGCTTTAGGGGCATCACAGAGGAGCCACATGTTTGCTTGCTGTGGCCCCAGCATCCACATTAATGTGGAAGCCATGCAAATGAACAGCCTGTGCCTAAAAATCTGCAAAGCTGTGCAAAAGCTCAGATCTAGTCACATCCATTAAAAATAGTATGGACTACCTGTTGTACTGTTTCCCTGTTATCCTATCAGGTTTGAGGCCTGCTGGCCAGCTCTGATGAAGGATTCCCATGGTGTTGTCATAGTCTTCAACCCAGACTTGCCCAGTCACCTGAAAGAAATCGAGACGTGGTATTCCTGTTTTGTCCAGCAGCAGCAGCTCCTCGATAGCCAGTGCCTACTCATTGCGCACCACAAGCCTGGCAGTGGAGGAGACACAGAGAACTTCACCTTGCGTAAGACTACAACCTTGATTTTCCAACTGTTAAATAAAAGTATGCTTTTATTTAGGGGAAGTGGCCATGACTCATTGGCTTATGTTCAGAAGGTTCCCAGGTTCAGTCCTCTCCTCAGTATATCCAATTGAAGGGTCTTCAGTAGCAGGTGTTTGACCTGGAAAGGTAGATGGCCTGTCCTGACTTCATATAAGGCAGGTTCATTGTTCCCTCTAAGCTGAGTTAGTGTGAGCTGAGTTAGTGTGAGCTAGGTCACAGCTTTTTAGCTTCTGGCTCACACATTTTTGTCTTAGCTCAGGAAGGAGGGATCCAGAGCAACCTAATGCATGCAGTGGCCAAATCGCTCGTTCACAACTTTTACACCAGTCGCTCACAAAGTAGAATTTTTGCTCACAGGACTCCACAGCTTAGAGGGAACATTGCAGGTGCGTACATTCGTTTCTCAGGGGCTGATAGAGCAGCATCTTAGACTACAGAAGGTCCTTGGTTCAGTCTTGGCATCTAGAATTAAAGGGTGTTGGGGGTCAAACCAGACAAGACTCTGGGAGTGCCGTGGCCGGAGCTTCCAGCTGTTAAAAAATGCAATTATCAAGCGTCCAAGCCCCATTTCTAAATGGGACCATGGCATGAGGGAGGAGGTTTCCTCTGGTGGGGAGGGCGGGGTATAAATTGAATAAATAAATAAAAGAAAATAAATACTCCAAATATGTGCTGTTTGCCCTGTTGTGGGTAAATATACAGGTACCAGTATTAGTTCCTATATCTTTCCCAGACTGGGCAAATAGTGCATTAACCAAGGTCTTTTCAATTCAAGAAAATGGTGCTGGGGTAAGACTTAACCTCCCCACCCCTTAAGGCACTGCCCTAGTAAGAACTGGGGCCCTACATGCCTGATACCTGCATAAAAATGGTTGGTCTGTGGATGTTAGGAAAGACCGTTCTCTGCCTGAGACCTCAGAGAATGGTTGCCAGTCAGAAAAGATGCCACTGAGCTCAAAAGACCTATTGGCTGACGTCACATAAGACAGCCTCATATGTTAAGTCTTCACCTTTCCCCATCTTCTAACCGTTTTCCTTTTGAACTTCTCAGCTTCGCCCTTGAACAGGCTGCATCTGATACATTCCAGTCTCGAAGAAGAACCCGAGGATGTCCGGATGGAATTTGTGAAGTATCTTAAGAGCATTATCAATTGGATGAACGAGAACCGAGACAAAGAAGAGATGTCGATTATCACATGAAAGATAGAGATGTTTTTTGGTGGAACAGAAAAGAACTGCTCCAAAAAGAGAGGGGAGGAGAGAACCCCAACCCAAAAGAAGTCTGAAACTAATGGTGAATAAAAACTGCTGTGCACTCTTCCTGAAAACACAACATTACAGGCCTTCTTTTTTTTTCTGCCTTGTACAACTAATGAAAGTCATTTGGCAATAAAGGGTGTGTAGCGTTCAATGCATTCAGCTCAGGGTAAAAGCACAAGGCAGTCACTCTGTAGGCCGTGGCCGCCATGCTTTGAAGGACTGAATTCTTAGAAGAAACAGAATCAAAAGTCAAGTTTAGCCTCTTTGTTCTGCCCCCTTCTAACTGCTCCATTGCATTATGGGTTTTCCCTCACCATGTTTTTTATCTGGCCCTTATCCCCACACTACTTTGTCCGCTGGATACATATATGAACGTACAAAGCTGCCGTAAGTTAAATTAGCTTGCTCAATACTGCCTACTCTGAGGGGCAGCAGTTTCCCTGAGTCTCTGGAAGAGAAAAGGCTTTCCCAGCCTCTGCTGCCTTTCACCTGGAGAAGGTGCATGGGGTGGAGAGGGGAATAGCAAGAGCCTTCCCTCCCTGTCCCATGGTACTAGAATTTGGTCTCACCCAGTGAAGTTGATGAACATTCATTCATCAACAGTGCCAATAGTGATGGCCATAAGCACAGATGACTTTGAAAGAGGATCAGACAGATTCATGGGGGATAGGTCCACCAATGGCTTCTAGCCATGGTGAGTAAAGAGAGCCTCCACATTCAGAGGCAGTAAACCCAGTGCTTGGAGGGGAAGGCCTTGGCCTCTATGCCTTGGCTGTTGGCTTTCCGGGGCAGCCGGTTGGCCACTGTATGAAACAGGAGGCTGGCCTAGACAGACCACTGATCTAATCCAGCAGGGCTTTTCTGATGTTCTCTGGAACTCAATCTAGGACCTTCTGATTGTGATGAAGGTACTCTGCCGCTCAACCACAGATGTGGGGGATGGAGGGGGCTAGGACAAAGAAATGAAAAGCACAGTAAATGAAAGCTGCCTCGGAAAACAAGCTTTACCTTATATTTGGTGTTTGAGGTCAGATTAGCTACTGTACTTGCTCTGAGGATGTCCTCACTTAACTCAGTGAGGCCAGCTTCTGAGTAAACGTGCAGAGGGACTGAGTTGTAAAACCTGCTGATGTCTCAAAGGAAGTTAATTTCTTTGGAGGGGCAAAATACTTAGAACCTAAGAAGGGTTCTGCTGGATCAGGCCAAGGGTCCTTCCTGTTACCTGCCAGATGCATCTCTGAAAGGGAGTTTGAAAGCAATGGTTTCCTTCTGTTTGCTCCCCAGCAACTGATATTCACAGGAGATACTGCCTGTTTTTGGAAGTTCCACTCACCTGTAATGATGATTACCTATCGATGCCTGTCTTCCATTGATTTGCCATATAATCATCCTGGATGTGTTCTGATTAGGTCTCAAAGGTGCCGAGATTCTTTTTCTCCCAAGACTTTTTAGTGGAGCCTGTATCAGTATTGTTCATCTCTGGTCCCCTCCCCCCAAAAACACTTTTCTGATCCCTTATCTGACGTTATTCATGCATGGCTTGGTTCTCTTTCATGCATTCCTTCAGCCCTGACGGCCAATTGGAACTCAGATGAGATCTCGCTTGTATAGTTCTTCTTTTGCAGAACATTCCTCAGGCCCAGGTAAAAAGAGAAGGGGGGAAAACACTGCATCATCTGGGTGTGGGTCAGTGTTCTTTTTAATGGCATGGTGGGAGAAAGGTCTGCTTTCTTGCAACTTTAATGAAACACAACAGTCATTGTAAAAAGCCTCCAAGATATGACTCAGTGAAGGTCTAACACACCCATCGTACCTTTCTATCCCATCAGGAGACCCCAAATTAAACATTTTTTTATCGGGCTTGACAATAACTCTTCTCAAGAACACAAGTCTAACGTCCTTTACTGGTGAAATTAAGAAATATTGAGGGGAGGGGTTGTACCCCAGAAAAGAGATCTTAAACGTAGTGCAGATACAGATAGACTTAATTTTAACAAGGTCAGAAATCCCAGCGTCAGCAGGTTTTCTTTTTTCTTTGAAGGTCTTGTGTCATACATTCCATCCTGAGCGTTGCAAATGAGGAACATGGAACTGGTGTTCTGGCCAGCCTAGAACTGTCTACTCATCAGCCGTAAGCGAGGCCAGTAATTCCCCCATGACACTGAAAGTGCTTGTCATTCTCAACCCCTTTCCTGCTGCCAGGAGCACACATGTGGAACAGAAGCCGTTTTTAGTGTGCTTATATCAGGCGTTTGGACCGATGACCATGCAGGAAGGTTCACTTACAGTTGTGCTTAGGCTTTCCTGGGCTTTCGAGTACCCATATGTTTTTGGTCTACAAGTCAGACCTAAGTTCTTGGTCTGAATGTTGCTTCTGCTGTGGACATGCTAATTAACCTTAAGTAAGGTGCTCTCAATGCTCTGAGGGAAGACTTTTTATCCTGCTCTTGCTCTGGGAAGCTCAGAGAGGCATATGTGGTCCTCTCAGCAATTGCGGGAATAGTGGCGTTGTTACCATCCAAAGTTAGGCTGCTGTAATGTGTTCTTTGTGGAGATACCCTTGAAGATGGAGCAAAGGCTTCAGTTCAGTACACAATATAGCTGTTTGCATTTGGACAGGGACTGCTGTAACGAGCCTATAAGAACAAAATTGCACTGCCTTCCAGTTTGCTTCCAAGCCCAAATTAAGGTACTGTTTTTGTGTATTTCTTTTTCAAATTTATATCCCACCCATCCCACGAGTGGACTCAGGTCAGGTCACATCCAGTGTTCCCCCTAAGCTGAGTTAGTGTGAGCTAGCTCACAGTTTTTTAGCCTCCAGCTCACACATTTTTGTCTTAGCTCAGGAAGGATGTCCCCAGAGCAAACTAATGTATGCAGTAGCCAAATTGCTCGCTCACAACTTTAATGCCAGTAACTCACAAAGTAGAATTTTTGCTCACAAGACTCCACACCTTAGAGGGAACACATCATATTTCAATAAATACAATAATTTTTTAAAAAAATCAATGGTTACACTTCCTGGTGAAAATTCCAGCCCATTAATGCAGATGGATATGGCCGGATAGCGATGGATAGATGATCAACGTGTGGGTGACAGCAACCTCGGGGAGGCGATGTCTCTGAAGCCTAAATGGCTTAGGTCCAAAGTACCTGAAGGATTGCTTTCTTTCATATTAACCAGATCTGAACTTTTAGATTGCTGGTAGACTTGAGGCCTTTGCAGGGGTCATTTCGTAGAAAAAGAGGAGCAGGAGCTCATTAGCATAACTCATTAGCATAACTTGTTTGCATATGCCACACCCCTTGACATCACCGGAAGTGTCAGAAGGCAACACCCGCCGCTCAGGCTCCACTGGACTGTTTTGGATTGCTAGCTATTGGGGGGGGGGAATGTGCAGATCTGTCCTCACAGAGGAGGGAGAGCTTGTACCTGAATAAAACTTGGTCTTAAAGGATTGTTTTGGATTGTTTTGGGTCGAGGGGGGGGCTCTGCAACTTACCTAGCTGCTTCTTGCTCTGACTGAGGGCTGCTGGGAGCAGGGGGTGGGGCTTGTTGCATGTGCCTGGCCCCTGGGCTCTTTACTGCCGCAGCTCTGCTCCTGTGCGCTCCGGCAGGAAATGACCCCTGGGCCTTTGTATGGGAGCTTGCTTGTCCAGAGATCAGACCAAGAATCCACAGGAGAGCCTTTTCAGTGCCTGCCCCCTCCCACCGGAATTCCCTCTCTTTAGGGAAGTGGAGTTCGTACCATTTCTGCAGAGCCATCTAATAATAATAATCTTTCAATTTATTGATCGCTCAATCCTGCAGAGCTTGCTGGCTCTGAGCGATTTACAGTTACTCATTTTTCATGAGGGACTAACAATGCTTTGTGGGGTAACGGAGGACAACATATATACATCTTAAATTGCACACATTCACAGCCGACGAGGGTTTCGTTCAGATGCAGATGAGATGTGATCCAGAACGGCATTTTTCCTCGGCCAAGTTTGATGGCATCAGCTTTTCTCCAGACTCCTTGTGTTGTAGCGCCACACTGCCATCGCCTGGCCCATTACAGGCTTTTCTTCACACCGAGGAGATCTCTCTAGGCTTTCCATCATGCGAGCTGGACTTCCGTTTGCTGGCTAACACTACTCCACCCCACGAGGGGGGGGGGTTTCAGTGTGCCCACTCTCTCTAAGGAGTGGTACCCATTTTATCTACTCGCCGAAGCTTTCGAACCGCTGGGTAGACGGCGAATCTAGAGGGGTTTTTTTGAAACTTTTCTATCCCAAAAGGCCTTTGAAGGACTGATGACAAGATAGCAACAAGCTTTATTGCGCCCTGATTAATTTTAAGTGATGTTGAGAGTTTTAAAAATCTGATATTAAGATTTCTGAGCCATTTTGGGCACCTTTTGTGGTTGAAAGGTGCTAGAGAAGTAAATAACTAACTCTACCTATCTTACAGAATTGTAAGGTTTACAGTAAGATAATGGGCATGAATCACTTTAAGCACTCTAAAAGGTGCCCTATAAATATTAAGTTGCCATTACCATCTCTCTTATTTACGTTATTTACTTCATTTATACCTCCCCTTCCTCCTGAAAGAGAACACAAAGCGGTTTACATTGTTCTTGTCTCCTGCATTTTAAGGGAAAGCATTTTATCGGTGTTCAAGAGAGTTCTTACAAACTGAACAGTTGATTGTTTTTGATGTATCTTGAAGGCTCAAAACGGGGCAGAACTTTTGCATATAATTCAGTCTTGGTTCTCAAAGAACCAAGTATGTCACAGCCTAGAGCTCTGTGGCACACCCAACCATCCACCGTGGTACTGGTACATACCTTTTAAAGCTTCTGGCATGTCTGCAAAAAATGGAATTGTTGAGGAGGGCATTTGGGGCAGAATGAGCAGTGCTTTGGTCACCTGTATTCATAAACTGATGGTCTGGATGGCCCCCCTTGTTTGGACAGATGCAAGTTGAAGGCAGGAACTCATGCAGAGAAGCAATGGGCAGCCTCTTCTGAAAGCAAGTTGCTTAATGGAATGCTCGAATAATCTAACTACGTCTGTTGCAGAGACACAGTAGGGAATTCCTGCAAGAGAGGAAGAAACTACAGATGCAGACGTACGAGCCTTTTTGTTTTGCGATTAGTTTCACCAGAAACACTCCTTTTACGTGGCAGGTTCAAAAGCAAGGTATGAACCGTAATGCTTTGTTCATAATGAATTTCAGATTCTGTCAATATTTTTGCAGCAAGAACAATTGTTTAGCTTCATAGTATATCACAGTCTTCAGCAAGCATGTCCCATAGGAATTTTAGAAAGAGCTTTAAGAAACTTAATATAAGCAGCATTCAAATGAGATCATGAGAATGTGTCTATTTCAACTTGCAGCCAATGAGGCATGTGTGAATGTGTATTGCCTGCCAGTGTCTCCCCCCCTGCCCCCCATTTTTTGGGGGCCTCATCTGCTTTCCATCTACTCAAAGCAATGTGACACACGGAACCTTTTAAGCCAGGAGAAAGAACATCATTTTTCAATTGCTCTTCACAAAGGTTTTTCAACTGGATAACATGTCCGAAGAATGGAAACTCTGCTGTTACATACAGCCCAGTGGCTTCAGGGTAGAAACCGAAATCTGGAGTAAACGTTTAGCTGGGACCATCGTTGGAGGTCTAAGGCAGTTTGAACTCCTCCCTCGTGAGAAGTTGGAGGCTCACATTCTCAAATCAAAGCAACATCAGTCAGAAAGAGCCACAGACCCATCTTTGTTTGGTGCTCCTACGTCAATCATTCGACTCCGATGTATGCTACCACGGATTTCATTACGGCCATCTGTGGGGTGTACACTTGCCACAATCCAACACAAATTTAGGCAGGTGTGGGTTCATGGATATCAGTGGGTTGTAGCAAAACTTGTGCATCTGGTTGTACAATGAGGTACTTTTGAACAGAACTGAATTCGATTGGAAAGGCTTACACCATCTTGCAATTTTATTTTTGCACTAGATGAAATTAACTCACAACAGTCCCACCAGTTATATCTTGAATGAGTTGCTGCATCTTCATTCTTCGTTCCCCCGAGAGCACTGCGATCTGGGTCACAGGATCGATTAGTCCCCCCTGGCCCTAGGGACGCCAAATTAACATCCACGAGATCTAGGGCGTTCTCTGTCGTAGCACCAACGCTATGGAATCAGCTCCCCCAGGAGATCCGCGCCCTCCGGGATCTCAGTCAGTTCCGGAGGGCGGTGAAGACGGAGTTGTTCCGCCAGGCATTCAACGACTTAGATTGAGTATGCCAGCGTTTATGGTCGCCATCTTGTGTATCTTATAATGTGTATTTTATACCCTCTGCATTGCATGCTGCTTTCACTTTCTTTGATCATCGGATTTTATGGTACCTTCTGCCCCCCCCGTGAGCTCTGTTGTACATCTGAACACATTTTGTGCAGTAGGTGGGGGGAAATGTGCAGTAGGAACCAGTGCTCCCCCTACGCTGTGGAGTCTTGTGAGCAAAAATTCGACTTTGTGAGCCACTGGCATTAAAGTTGTGAGTGAGCGATTTGGCCACTGCATAAATTAGTTTGCTCAGGAGCCATCCCTTCCTGAGCTAAGACAAA